TCGTCGTCGTCGTCTCTGTACAGGATGGGGCCGTCAGAGTCAGACTCCTCCTCGCTGTCCCCCGGGCCTCCACCCTCATGGATGACACTCACTCTGGGGTCTCCGACCAAACCCCTCCTGCTGCGGGGCTCCAGCTCGGCCTGGCGAGGAATCCTCTGAGGCTGAAGCTTCCGCAACTCCTCCTCCATGTCAAAGTCATCATCTTCTGGCCTGTGAACAAGCAGAGCTGTGAGAGAGCTGAAGAAGCTCAGACACTCAGATCCAGTCCTTTGTTCTATTGTATCCAAGTGTGAGAATAGACTCATACTTTTAGGCTTCTGGCAGCTGCAATCTGCCCTGATCTGTGCTAATCCTAGTACTGTTGTTAGGTACAGTCGCAGACAATTTGCAGCCTGTTCACAAGGTAAGGGAATAAAGCTCAACTGTTTGCTGAACAGATTACCAAACACAGTTCTACATAATGCTTATTTGGCTGACTAAGGAGTGAGGCTCTCTTGCTAGAAGCCTCGGAGCGATAGACTACAAACATTTACTTGAAACTGGGCAGAGTGAATGTGGGAGAACGGACTAATGGTTCTTAACCTTTTTCCTTAAGGGAGCCTCTTTCCATCATTGAGTACTGACCACCCCTGTGTAATCTTTACATGAGAGATGTCTTGAGTAGCCATTTCAAAATCTCCGTCTTTGTTTTGGTTTGGCTCCTACAGTGCACTGAATCATGCAGGTGGGGGATCCCTCTTTGACCTGGCCCACCCAAAGATTCTTCCATTTGTCCTCTTTTAAGTTTTTCTTTGTTGATATTGCTTGTCTCCTATTACAATTTAGATTAAAGTATGCTTATGTCTCTTAAACATGTCCGCCTGTTATTTGTTGAATTATGTCCTACTGCGTTTTGTCCTGTGACTGAGTATGGAATAATGAATCTAAAGCAGACTCTTAGCTGTATAAATAAAGCTAGAACATAACTCAACTTGTTTGCATCCGCAGTGGAGAATGATACTCTTTGCCTGAAAACCGGATACACTTTCAAGTTAACTGCAACATTGGTTGAAGTTGGTTTAATACAGGTCAAAAAGGGGCCTTTTTTTTTTTTTTTTTCAAATTTAACCAAATCAAAAACTGAAATTCCACAAAGTAAACGTAAGGCAAACTGCTCTCCTTCATTCTCAGCTTTCATCTATGATGTTTTATGTCTATTTGTAATGTGGGCCACTTACAGCCTGAGAGGTTCGATGGTGATAGGGAGAGAGTGCCTCGAGTTGCCTGGCCCCTCGATGAGGAATTCTGGAGGGGACTCAAACAGCAGTGAGTGTGCCCTCTGGGAGCCATCTGGGTTGGGCTGAGCGGGGCCGGGGCTGGCAAGGGCCCTCTGGATGAGGATGTGTAGGGGGATGGCTGGAGGCTGGCTGGGAGGCTCTGTGGTCGGGGGCGGAGGATCAGCTTGCACGGCGGGCACAGGACCAGAGGAGGAGGTGCTGGGCGGCTGGGGTTGCTGGAGCGACTGAACTCTGGGAGGGGATGGAGGTATGTGGGACGGCAGTGAAGGCAGAGACTCGGCGGAGGTCTGAGGAGCTGCTGCAGTTGGCTTGTCCTCGCTGTTCTCTCCTTTAAGGACAGCAGGAGGCACCAGTACAGGGGCGGACGCTGGGTCAGTGGTGGGAGACTCCGGGGCCTGACTGGGAAGAGATGGGTCCACAGAATGGCGCTTTGTGACAGGGGTCATCCTCTTTGGTGGCGTCGGTGGAGAGCGCTTAGCGGGTGCTGGCACTATGATGACACCACTGCCATGCTGTGAAAGCTCCGCTGTTTAAAAAAAAAAAAAAACAGCAGTA